ATCTATGTAAAGGCTGCCTTCAGGGGCTAGTGTGCAACCCTTTCCCTGCTCAACGGCAGAATGTGAAACCCTGCCTGGTCGGTTACCTGTTTGGCGGTTATTGGAAAGGCTGCTGTTCAAACCCAGCACCTTCTCCTTGGGAGGAAGATGAGGGAGTCTGCTCTCATGAAGAGACCTGAGGGAACATTGCCAAGGTGTGTAGGGAGTGGGTTTCAGTGGGCCAGTGGGAGGCAGCTTATCTCCAGCGCTGATAAGCTGCCTGTCAAAGTCACCGAAAGCTCAGGCCCGCTCCTAGACCCAGCCTCACTGGCACAATGCCACCTGATCATCACTGATGTCCTTTCTCCTAGGCGCACCCACAGCCTTCTGCCTCACGGAGCTGAAGATTCTCTGGGGGACAGCACCATCAACATATAGTCGGCTGAGAAATACAACTTGTGATTTCTTTCCATGCCAAATGGAAGCAGAAAGAAATACAGCAAAGTGGCTAGGCACCAATTAGCCCTGATTTATAGTCTACTTTAATATCTCCTCAAAGGAAATGAAAAGTATATTTTCATCAAATGTAATTGTTTGTAGCTTCTAAAGGGGAGCTGGACCATGACAACTACCTGTGCCAAGAGATAAAGCCCAAAGACTTGTCATAACAGACTCTGCTGTCAGTTACCCTGGGGCCTGGGGCCAGGAGCTGCTTTCCTCCGGGCACTTTATTCCCCAGGAAAAAGCAAGGGTCCCGTGCAGCCTGGGATTCTGCATCACTGTGGCCTACGGCAAGGACCAAGGAGCAATGCCATTATAGAAGGCGGCAGGGGTGGGGTGGGAGTGGGTCTCACTGCACTCCTCAGTCCCTGTGGACACTGCAGCACTGAAGGGAAATCTGGTGAGGTTTGAGGGGGCCACCTCCCCTAGACCCTTTAGGGCCCTGCTCTAAGGCTAATGCGACCCTCTGGGTAAGGAGAGGTTAACTGCACACCTCGCTTCACTGCAGAAAGAGGGAGAATAGTGCTTAGAGTAGTGCCAGAATCCTGGCATCCCAGTGTCTTCATGTTCCCTCATTAAGGCTAAATCGTGAGCGCTCTAGAGGGTATTTCCTTGTTTTCATTGTATCAGACAGGGAAGGCATGTGGTGGCCACACAGGGAACATGCAGGGGCTTGCTCTCCATTCCGTAAACCTTTGTTAAGCACCTACTACGTGCCATGCTGGGTGCACTGCTAGGCCCAGTGGTGAACAGGAGAGTGGCATTTGACATGGGAGAGAAATAATCACAGTCAGGTACACGAACACCTGAGCCAAGCAAGAACTCCAGAGAGCAAGACACAACCAGGTCAACGTGACAGGAAGAGAAGGGGTAATCTTAGCCAGGCAGGTGTCAGGACAGGCCTCTCCAAGGAAGCAGAGGCAGTGTGTGGACTGAAGAGTGAGCAATTAATCTGAAGTAGCCGCACAAGAGAAGACTATCCAGGATCTCCTAGGGTTGCCCAGATCAAAGCTGGTTTCATAAAAATAAAAACATAATTGGCCTACTGTACACATGTGCCCATGAGTGTACAGTTTTCAAGAGCCTATTCTATGAATGTCATTTCCCAAAGATCAGCTGTAGCAGCTAAAACAAGAACCTGTCTCTATTCTAAGCTGAATCTTAAAGAGATTTGCAAAATGTGAAATAAAGCTTTTGTTTTAGAAAGCAGAGGTATTTCTTAAAAAAACTATGGTACTAATGAAACATGCAACAGTATAGTAGTAGTAGTATTTTAAAATACATACATGTTCCTCTGGTTTAATTTCTAATCCCCTAAATATTGGTAGGTATGCTCTACGCAAACTCGAGTTCTTTGAAGGCCTCATCCTTTGTGAAGAGTGCACAAGGATCCTAAGGCGAATCTGAGGAGTGCTGACACAGAGGTACAGCAGGTGGGGGACGGCGGGTCCATCTGAGTGGAGAACTGGGTCGGTCACAAGGTGCCCTTATAGTTGGGGTGAGAGATTTGGATTCTGTCCTAATGCAGCAGGGAGCTACTGGAAGGTCGAGGGCAGGGGGCATGCTGAAAACCTGATTTATGTTTCAGAAAGCTCCCCTGGCTGAATAGAGGGGAGGAGGCCAACACTGGGGGCTGCAGAATCCCCTTGCTCCTGAGAGGTGATGGGGGCGGGACAGGTGAGAGGAGACCCTGTGCTCTGAAGGTGGCGCTGATCAGTTAGGTGGGTGGGGCTTTGAGTGACACAGGCATGGGCACTAAATGGTCAAGGGGCGAGAGGTGGGTCAAGAGGCAAACTGGGGCAGGAGGGGCAGGTGGGCTACCTGCTGTCTCTTCCTGTGGCACCTGCCCTCCCTCTGAGGAGACCCACAGATGTGAACACTGCTGAGCCCAGGATTGACAGGAGTCACAGTGGTGACACACAGGCTCAATCTCCCTTGTCCTCAGACCTCAGTACACATCCTATGAGCTGTCAGGGGTGATGCAGCCTGGGGCTGGATAGCTGCTTTCGAGTCCCTGAAGTTCCAACCTAAGAACCTCACACCCCTGATGTGGCATCCCCGCAGTTGGTGCCCGCACACTTTCCCTGGACGCCAGGCCTGGTGCTGCAGCATTTGGCAGATGCTGGAGAATATGACACGTAGGCCTATTTATTTATTTATACCCAGCATGGTCCACAAAGGAACAAACTATAAGGCCTGGGCTTTGCTCATGAACCAGTTCCCAAGAGGAAAGAAGTCATGGTGACCCTACAGCAAAGGTTTCTTACCAACCAAATACATACTTAGTTCATGGTCAGGACTTCTCCCTACTTCTCAACAACCTGACCCAACATGGAGCAACCTGGAGAACCTTTTTTTAAAAAAATAAAATAAAATAAAAATTCTTCTAAGCAAACAATCCTCTTGACCTGTGAACTGGCAGAATCATAATCTAGTCACAACTGAAACCACAGGAGGAGCAACAATCAATAAGACGGCCCAGAGGGAATACAGTCACACGCTGCCAAGTGAACAACGGGTGCACCTTGCTCCAGAGAGCAGGTTGGGGCTACGGCAACGAGTTTAGAGATCATGTCCCCTCTGGTCTGGCAGATCCGCCGCTGGGACCTGCTTCTGCAGACATGTAAGTCTTGTGTGGTCACGCAGATCTACTTCAGGGATTTTCACTGGGATGCCGTCATGCCAAAACCAGGAAACAGGCCCAAACATCCACCAGCAGAAGAGGTTAGAAAGGAATTCTTTGGTCCACAATAGGATATAATATCATTAAACCGCTGATGGGAGTGACCTTGAGTTACAGACGCTGCTGAGGTGTAACATGACGTGTCATGAAGTGAAAAAAGGCCTTCAAAAAAAAGTGCAGCAACCTTGCACGTGCAGTGTAACCCACATGCACTAAGAGACAGGGAAAAGCACAAACATTGTGTCCAGATACATGTTTCTGGAAGGAGATGTGAGAACGTGCTAGCAGAGGCCACTACTGGGCTGAAGGTGGAGAACACTGATTTTTGCTTTTTATTTTGACCTTGATATGATAGGGCTTTTAAGAAACATGTGCCTGAAATGTATATTTTTAAAATCAAAGACAGAAAACCCCCCACAGGCAATCCCTAGGTTACAGATGTCTGTGCCGCACCTGTAGTTACAAACCAATCCTTATAAAGCCAACTAGATTAAAAAGTCAAAGTAGACCCAATGATTTGCAGTAACAAAACAGGTGCTACTTTTGAAATGTGATCAAACGTTATTACTAGGGAGTTTTGATGGCATAGCCTGTAGGGTGTTGCACTATAAATCCAAAGGCCACAACTCTCTGGTGGTTCGAATCCAGCAGCGGCTCCTCTGGAGGAAGATGGGCAATCTTTGCCTGTGCAATTTAGAGTTTCCAAAATCCAAAGGGAGGGGCGGCTATGAGTCAGTTCTCCCTGGACGGCAGTGGCTGGAAGGGACAGTGCATTCCCATTAAAGATGCTTTACTGTACCCATAAGTCCTTCTTTATAATGTTTCCTATGCACAGAAGGCTACATTATCCACTATATGCTAAAACTGGCAGTAGCTATGACCCATGCCTAACGGTTCCAACTTACATTCCAGTTCAATGTAAAGATATAGTTAAGAAAAGACCTCGTTCATAACCCGGAGACAGCATGTCAATCACATGGGTGGGTTGGACATGGATGGTGACAAGCACGCTAATTGGGATAGGTTCTTTTGGCTGCATTTTATTTTTAGATCAAGAGTTCTTTTTTTAAAACATCTTGCAACACTCCCAGCTAAATTATAGAACCTAATCATGGAGAGGGGGTTAAGTTTTGCAGGGGAGGACTTAGCCAGCCGTCTTAAATTTTTTAACCCAGAGACAAGTTCTCTGTTGAGGGGTTGGGGTGGGTGGGATTGGGGTGTGACTGGAGTCACTTAAAGCTGCCACTTCAGCCCAGAAAGGCAGGAGTGTATTCTCCTGTGGTATTGCTGTTTTGTCAAGCTGACCTTAAACTTCATGTTTCCTCTCTTAGACGGAGGAGCACAGGAGCTAATGACTGGCACAAGTGGGAAGAGGCAGCTCCAGTGGGATAATGAGCAGCCACCCCAGGCAGCCTCCTTCCTCTTAAGTTGCCCGTCTCCAGGGCTTTGGAACAGGAACTACACACTATCTCCTTGTAGTCATCTCACACGGAGAAGGAAATTACTGTCCCACAACCCTCACTGCTAACAAATTAAGCATTTCCAAGAAATTTCCAAGAAACTTCTTAGTCTTAATTCTGAGAAATTCTTCTACATACCCAACAAATCTCTGGAAAACTAAACCAAGGCCGCAAAGTGACAAAAAATAAAGCCAAGTTTGGTTTTTTTGTGTTTGTTTTTTTTTTTTGGGGGGGGGCTGTGCTTATGTTTGATCTCATGCTATACTTCGATCAGTTCTAAGAAACTGGAACTTAGAGTCACAGGGATTTCTGAAAGAGGAAGCCTTCTGGGCCCCACCGCGAGGGGACAAGGCATGGCACGGCTGGGGCGGACTTACCTGGCACTTTGTCCACTGACGCGAACACAGAGCGCTGTACAGTGGGATCGCTGCTGCCCCGGCGGCACTGGTCATAGAAGCGGAAGGGCAGGTGCTGCGTGGCAGTAGTGGTGCCGAGTCCAAATCCCAGGACTTCGGTTGTCGGCTGGATTGGGAGGTCCAGGAGAGCTACGTTGAAACAACACCGTGGATCATTCTCAGCACGAAGTAGGGGTGCAGAGGCAGCTTTGTGTGGGGCTGTTGTAATCAGGGGGCCTGTAGTCCCTGCTAGGGGCATCACTGGGAGATGCCAGGCAGGCAGTCTTGAACGGCGTGACCAGAACAACATCAAAGATACTATCCAAGACTCAAACATAGGTGGTGTTGAGCGGGTTATTCAGGCCATGGTGGAGAGCCTGATCTTCCAACAGAATGGACGCTGGGCCATAGCCACTTTCCACACATAAGTGACCCTCGTCAAGGCTTATTTCTGGTGCCATTTCATGGTCTAAAGTACATGGGACCAAATCTGCTCAGAGAGTTTGTTCATCTATACACTTAAATACACACTCACTCATGAGGAGAAATGTGTATGAGAAAACACCTAGGACAATGTGTGTGTGTATTTATGTCTGCGTTTATCTGTCACCACTGCCAGCCTCCCTTCCATAAACAGATCCCATGATATATCAATTTGGTAGGGCTTTTTAAAATCAATTTAAGAAATAAGCCAAGGCGTTAGTTCTAACAGCCACTTTACAGCATAATTCTCAATTTTCGAATGAAATATTTAGCCTTCATGCCAGCTATGAGAAATTGCTTTACATTAAAAAAAAAAAAAGTTCCCTGAAAATAAATCTTGAAAGGACGGACTGAGTGATTTAAGTCACTTTGCACATTACAAAATGCTTCTGTAATGATTTTGTAGGCCAAGTTTCAGCTGAATGAGAAATGAGATGAGGGCACGAGACTGCAGGCCCCCCTGTTCAGATCAACCAGGACCGTGGTGGGCACAGCAGGACAGGGAAACATCCTGTACAGAAACCCAGCTCTCCAGGGCTTATTTTTAAGGCAATCTGTTGAGAAAGCACTTCCCTTTCCCCATAGTAACCACCAAGAAAGGTGCTGGGTATTGTGAAGATGTTTCTAATCTTACAAGGATTTTTTCCTCAAGGACCTTCCAACCTGGTAGGTACACACCATGATTCAGGGGCCTTTACTCTACGAAAAAAAGCCCAATATCCTGACCCTCAAAGGTACTTGGATACCTCATAAATTCACCACAGTCCCTTTGGAAGGTAAATTTATTTGTGAAGGCAGGTGAGTTTGTCACAAGACTCTCATAAGATGGGCTGCCTCTCAGCAGCTCTGGGAAGGGATTAAAATTAAAACAGAAAGTTCTGCCAACTTGCTGCCTGACTGACTTTGGGCAAGCCACTGGGCCTCAGTTTCCTCTTCTGTAAAATAGGTAGAATGAACCCTACTGTTCTCAAGTGTTGTCCTAAAGACTGAGTGAGTGGATATAAATTATAGTATTCTGTAAAGGTGAAGACGGCAAATTTCTTTGTGGAAGGATGAGAATGTTTACTATTGGTCAAAAGTCCACACTTAGGCCTCTGCATGGCCTTGAACCTGGCAGGCAAGGCACCTCATCTCTTCCATGGAGCCGCCAAACTCTCAAGTAGTCAAGGACTTAAAAAGTGAAAATTCTGAGTGACCTCACTTCACTACAGCACGTTAACTCCTACACTATTGGTAAAGTCTTTCAGAGGAGCTAAGGTGGTTCAAGGTCAGGGTGAAGAACATGCTAACAGGCTAATGGCTACTTCAGCCCTCAGAGGACCCCCCTTCAGGGCGCCACTCACCAGCTATTCTCTGCATCTTCATGCGCCTGGCCTGGATGCGGCCCTTGGCCAGGCGCTGCTTGGCGATGATGCAGCGGATGTGGTCCGAGAAGACAAAGGTGGCTTGGAGGATGGGGAAAGGCTTGGAATGGGGGCTGGACGCAGGCTTGTGGATGGTGATGTTGAGGGCGCGGCTGTCGTCCTCAACACCAGTCACCTGCATGTCCTGAAGAGAGAGGAACGGAAGGATAGCATTGGTTAGGAGCTGCAGGGCCAACAGACCTGAAGTAGAAAGATCCTCTAAGCCAGCAGCCCACTGTGAGAAAGACCTGGCAATTGTTCCCATCAAGATTATCCTATGTGATACAGTTCTATGCTGTCACACGGGGCTACCACCAGTCACAACTGACTAGAAGGCACCATCAACAAAGTGAGCAGACGGAGCTGAAGGGGACTGTCAGTCTCCCAAGTCTAACAGAGTTAAAGGTGCAAGGCCATGGGCACCTGGTCCTCTCACCCTGAGGAAGGGAGAATGTGGGAGCACCGCAAGGGACACCTTCGCCTGATGGGTTAAAAATGCCTGGGCCCTATGGCCCAACAAGTCCATTCTTGGTACCTGGCATGCAGGTACCAAGCAGGCTTTATAAGAATAGCCTCTGTGGCTGGGATACAGTGAGAGATGTAAGAGGCTTCAGCACTCAGCAGCAGGTGGAAGGCAGTGTCAGTAACAGGAGTGGTCAGACCAGGCAGAAGTCAGAAAGGACGAGGTCGCTATCTGAATGAATCAACACGGCAAGATCTCCAAGACACGGATTGCAACTCAAAAAGACCCTGCAGGTCTGAACAGAACTGGGTTTCCAAGGCGGTGATCTTTATCGGAACAGCTTGTCAGATCTTTTCTCTCAGAGAGTTAGTTGCTGGTGGATTTGAAGCACTGACTTGATGGTCAGCAGTTGAGTGCTTAACCACTGCATCACCAGGGCTCCTCCTTGGCACAACAACAGGCATGGCTTTCGATCATTAATGCAAAGGACATAAAGAACTTTCCCCTCATATAACATAGACAGGAAAAGGCGTGGAAGGAAGACATACGCTTGTTAGTACAGGCTGGGGTGACGGAGAGGGCAAAGGGTTGGGAGTATAAGTGGTGGTCCTAGGATCTTCTAGCTTCTAGTTAAAGAGAATGTGTCATATATTACTTGTACAAGTAAAAGTTAATTTTAAATATGTACATGGGTCCTCCATATCTTCTCCATCTATATGCGGAACAGATTATCCAGGAGGCTGGGCTCTATGAGGAGAAGTGTGGCATCAGGATTGGAGGAAGACTCATCAACAATCTGCATTATGCAGATGATACAACCCCGCTTGCTGAAACTGAGGAGGACCTGAAGCACTTGCTGCAGAAGGTCAAGGACTGCAGCCTTCAATACAGATTGAAGCTCAACATCCATCAAGAAAAGATTCTCACCACTGTGCCTACTGGCAGCATCATGATGGATGATGAAGAGATTGAGATTATTGACAGCTTCAGTGTGCTTGGCTCTACAATCAACACTCTTGGTACCTACCAGCAGCCAGGAAATTAAAAGATGAATTGCATTGGGAAAGTCTGCTGTCAGAGACCTCTCCAAGGTACTAAGGAGCACTGATGTTAGTCTGGAGACTAAGGTGCGCCTGATACAAGCCATGGTCTTTGCAATTACTTGCTATGCATCAGAGAGCTGGACAATGACTAGGGATGATAAAAGGAAAATTGATGCCTTTGAGCTGTGGTGCTGGAGAAGAGTACTGAACATACCATGGACTGCTAGGAGAACAAACAAGTTCATCCTGGAGAGGGTGAAGCCAGGCTGCTCCCTGGAGGCAAGGATTCTGAAGCTCCATCTGACATACTTTGGATATGTTGCAAGGCGGGATCAGTCCTTGGAGAAGGACGTCATGCATGGGAGGGTGGAGGGACAGGGCAGGAGAGGAAGACCCTCGATGAGATGGATTGATTCAGTGACTGAGGTAATGGGGATAGGAGTGCTAGAGACAATAAGATTGGCACAGGATAGAGCAGGTTTTGGGGCTGTTGTACAGATTCACTATGAGTTGCAGGTGACTCGACAGCACATAACAACAACATAAGGGTCCTCAGCAGAGTCACAGGGGGAGTGGTAGAATTCTTGCCTTACATGAAGGAAGTTCTGGGTTTAATTCCCATATTCTGGGCTTAATATATATCATGTGCAGCCATTAGCCATCCATCTGTGACGTCTTGAATGCTTCGAACATCCTGAATGGATTTCAGCAGAGTTTCCAGACTCAAAACAGATTAGGAAGAAAGGCCTGGTGATCCAGTAAATGGAAATCAAATGGATCACAGTGGTCTGATCCCTGCTGTACAGAGGTCACCCTGAGCTAGAGGATGACTTGAAAAGAGCTAACAACAGTCACATGTGGCAGAAACATGTTCCACAGACCACCACACATGTGTCACTCCAGAGACAGCCTCCAGGAATGCTCACTGTGAAGCCCAATCCCTCTCACCATGTGGCATGACAGCACATACATTCACTCACCTACTCATTAATTTCTTCCTTGTTTCTCTTAAGGGGAAAGCACAGGAGAGAGAAAGAGGGGGCCCCTGAACAGAGCTTTGAAGAGAGCTCTGACACAGCCCAGACAAAAGCAAGGGTCATGACTGAGCCAGTCGAAAACCCACACTGGACTCTGGGTGAGGGTTCCGCTTTCTCCCCAGGTTTGAACTGACTGGAGATAAAAGCACAAGACAGGAGAGGCAGACACAAAATTCAGGGTTGCTGGGGGAGTTTGGAGAAACCCTGATGAAGGCTTATGCAGTGTGATGGTCACCATCCTTAGGTATTAAACTTGGCACGAGCTCTTTGGAAGCAATACCTGCATCAAGACGCTGTGTGAGAATGAATGTGCCATAATGCATTTAAAGCAGAGAGCTTGGCAGGTAGGAACGACCTGACAAATAGAAGCTATTGGAAGACAACCAAAGGGGGGGGGAATCCCTGAAAAAGGTTTATGTGGCTTTCATTGATGCAGGACACATATTAATCTTTTAGGGGAGAAAAACACTTTCCTGACACTAAATTCTAAAGGAAACTGATCACAATTTGCTTTGAATAAGTAAGAGGCACTAAGTCTGGATAGTTCCTTCCATGGAAGTCTTTTCTTAAACAAAAGATGTGTCGTGTTGTTTTTCATGTTATCTTCTGTAAAAGACATTTTGGTCGCTGATTCTGACTCACACAGTTGATTTTGACTCAGCAATCTCACGCGGCAGAGCAGAACTATTCTATAGGGTTTTTTAGGCTGAAAATCTTAATGGCGGCAATGCTGTCACATAGCAGGTTTGAACCGCCAACCTTTTGATGAGCAGCTGAGTACTCAACTATGGGACCACCACAGGACTCTATAAGGGTTACTTTGGCATCCTCAGAGATAGAGGTTGTTCTCACGGGGAGCAGGGGTGCTCACAGCTGGTCGTATTACAATGAGGTGGATGTGGGTCAGCCATGAGAGGTTTTTCTAGCAACTACAACTGCCCAACGATACGATGGGCTGCCTCCAATCAGGGCAGGGCTTGGGATGCCCAGTGTGTGCTGGATGGTAGGAACCCGACGGGATGACGGAAGTGTCGGCTGGCCGCTTCTACATTTTACTCCGTGAGTGAAGTTACCTATCATAGCAGTTGGCTAAGTAAATCCCTGATGGCCTGGTGATAAGGAGCTGCACTGCCAACGTGAAGGCACATTATTCAAATCTACCAGCTGCTTCACAGGAGGAAGATGGGCAGTCTCCTCTCATGCGATTTACTGCCTCTGAAAACCTGCTGGAGGGTCAGCTATGGGCCAGTTCTGACTCAATGGGAAATAGCAATTGGCTAAAACTCCCAAGTTCTCAACTCAGAGTTTCATTAAGTTAAAGCCTGGCTCCCCTGGTGGAAGGATAAGGAAAAGGTAACTCTCCAAAGGAGTCGGTGGCAGCCACTGTTTGAGGGAAGAATTTGGCAGGACCTAATCATGTTTCAAGTTGGCACACCCCAGTTTCTCAGTATCTGCCCTGGGGAAACCCTTGCACAAGTGCAGAAGAACAGGAACGGTTTTGTTCACGGCAGCACTGCTTGTAAAGGCAAACACATGGAAACAACCAGCAGGGCATTGGCTACAAATAGCCTGGTGCAGTCCCACAGCAGTTAAAGAGGTCTCTCTACATAATAATGCTAAAGCACAGTGTAGAACACGCTCGACCATTTCAATAAACCGCTCACACACTCCATTGGATGGATGGAACTCCAAATCCTTCATTGTGGAGTCAATTCTGACTCATTGTGACCTTTAGGACACAGAACTGTCCCACAGGGTTTCCATAGTTGTAAATCTCTATAGGCAATGCATCTTTCACAGTTGGAGTGGTTGGTGGGTTCAAACTGCTAACCTTTTGATTAAGCAGCTGGGTACAGTGCTCCCTAAATGTACACATACCATTTTTTAAAAATAGGCACTTGCAGTTACATTCACACATGCATTTGCATTTGGCAGAGGGGGGATCAGGCTATCTCTTGGAGAGAAGGGGAGGGCTGAGAACCAAGGAATTTGACCAAAGAGAAACTGGACTTAATGTCTGCATGATGATTCATTTCACTTTGCTCAAGAACTCACTCATATTCTCTGTGCTATTCAAATCAACTGTCAGAAGCGATAGTGTGTGTGTCTATGTGTATTTACAGCCTCTGGAATCGCTGGCTACCTTACCTGCAGAAGACCTGCAAACTTGACTACTCCCCAGCCAAGCCTGGACACGTCGGGCTCCACCAAGCTCATCTGGTAAATATCCACAGCCAGGAAGCGCTGGACCATGCTGCCATCCTTGGTGATAACAGTGCAGGCGATCAAGTCGCTATTATCTGGCAAGAGAGAGGAGGAGAGGAGAATGAGGGGCGGGGTGGGGGGGCGTTAGAGAGCCCGAGAGGACTCGGTGCAGTATGGATTCGCTGAGGCTGCAGAGCTCAGTGGTCCAGCCTGTGGCACAGACCTAGGCCCCAACCCTGCTCAGTCAGTTATTCTCATATGATTCTTTGCTACTTTGGGCCTCAGGCTTCTCATTTGAAAATGGGTGTGATGCCTGTTGTTGTTGTTATGTGCCGTCGAGTCGTTTGCGACTCATAGCGATCGTATGTACAACAGCACTAAACCCTGCTCTATCCTGTGCCAATCTCATTGCCTCCGACACACCCATCCCGATTACCCCAGTCACTGAATCAATCCACCTCATAGAGGGTCTTCCCCTCCTGCGCCGTCCCTCCACTCTATCCAGCATGATGTCCCTCTCCAAAGACCTGTCCCTCCTTACAACATGTCCAAAGTATGTCAGGTGAAGCCCCAGAATCCTTGCCTCCAAGGAGCAGCCTGGTTTAACCCTCTCTAGGATGAATCTATTTGTTTTCTTGGCAGTCCATGGTACATTCAGTACTCTTCTCCAGCACCACAGCTCAAAGGAGTCAATTCTCCTTCTATCCTCCCTAGTCACTGTCCAACTCTCTGATGCATAACAAGTGATTGCAAAAACCATGGCCTCTATCAGGCGCACCTTAGTCTCCAGAGAGACACCATTGCTCTTGAGTACTTTAGAGAGGTCCCTAACCGCAGACTTTCCCATCGCAATATGTTTTTTGATTTCCTGGCTACTGGTGCCAAGAGTGTTGACCATCTTGCAAAACATCATCTATGAAAATTTCCTCATATGAGGTGCTTAAACTGGAGCTAAAAAATTCTAACCAACCATGACTCTATTGACATGGCAGGGTGCCTGGTATACCTGCCAGACTTCCCCCTTTGACAGTGCTGGCCGACTTCCACCACTGGGACCTTTAGCCACATGTGTTTCACATCAAGACAGGCAAACAAGAATTGTTCACCTACTGAAATCAGCAGGCCATCAACTGTGTGTGTGGCAACTGGAAGCCAAGCTCTCGCAAGTGTATGTATGATAATGGGGAAGGGACCTGGTCCTTGCATACCAGTTTCCCTATCCATGGGAACAATGCCCCCCAATGAGACCAGAGCATGTGGTGGGTCTCATACATATTAGGCCTTTTCTTTTACTTGAATTCTCTCCCAAAATTCAATGTCCAATCAAGAGGACCTGTCCTTGGCCCTGAAGTGACCAAAAGGATACAAGACCATTAAATCTAGAATCTACCTTGAGTACCCTCCAAAGGCATCCATCCTTTGTCACCTCTGTTTTAAAAGAAACAGCTAAACAAGGAAACAGCCTAAATATCCTCTCAAAAAGGGAACAATTTGAATATGCTTTCCCCCCCATTGGGTAGGAAAATTATACTCATTTAATAATGCTGTGTTTAACCAAACTGCTAACAGCGGTTACCTATGGGGAGGGAAGTGAGAACGGGGGC